GAAATTTTCACCAGATTACTTAGCCGAAGATGATGTTTCAAATTAAACTCTGATACCTCCTACTTAAGCGATTATGAATGGACCGTAGGCGGTTTATCATGTAGAAATGTATGCATCGAAAGATTCATTAACTACCTAGATAATCGTGAACAATATCGTATTTGGGAATAAATTCCTTCGGATAATCAAATTAAACCCAAATATGGAGTTTTTGATTGGAAACCCCACAGAGCATTGGCTGATTGCATTTACGTCTAACCATAGGACGTTAGCAGTTTTGTGTTGAAACAATTTAATCAAGTCTCACCACATTGAATTCTATTTTAATAATTTTTAATCCTTCTTGAGTAAACCTTGTATCCGTAGTTTATAAACTACCTTTGTGCTATCTAGTTATTTGTGATTTTCGTAATTTTTTTCTCTTCGTGAAGGAGAAGGGGGAAAGGATCACCCATTTTGTATGCACTTAGTTCAAATTTTTTCCAGTGTTGTGATTGTTTTTATTCAATAATCTTTTTTAATTAAGTGGTTTTATATGAATTTGGTTTTAACGCTTCTGTCCTCTTTCGGAGTGAGCGAGCGTCAGTGTTATTGTATCTTAGTTAGAAATAACACACAATTTAAATGAACTCTAATTTTACTTTTTTTTTTCATTTTAAGTTAGATTAGATAGAGTTAGATAGTACATTTTATTAGAGTAGTTGAAACGATTTCAAAAAAGTTTTGCTGCACGAAGTCTTTTTCTTTTTGAGCATTCATGTCAGAATATTTCAAAATTTTCTATTTGTCTTTACAAATTAGTTTTAAAAATAGTTTAGGTCTGTCATTTAACGTTTTTTTAGAGTGATTTTTTAAAAAAGTTTGTTTATCACAAACAACGGTTTTTTTCTTCTGTTGCTTGAGGAATTTAGAATGGGTTTCAGAAGTTTGCTTTATTCTGTTGCATGAAGACTGCGATATCTAAAATCGACCCGTGTTTTAATTTTTGTGACTAAGAGTTAAAAAAAGATTTTTGACGAACCTTCACTAAAAATATCAGATGTCGAATAAAGTATCGTAATGAAGCCAAATCAGATTTCAATTTTGAGATTTTTTTGTTTTTTTTTGCACAAATTATTCGGTATTGTGATCAAAGCGATCTGTGCTTATTGCAATTCAATATTCTATCGTTTGCTTATATTGCATGGTTTCCTAAGATAGAAAAAAACTAAATCTTTATTTTAGGGCATTTTTGGCCATTTATTCAGATCTAGCAGAGATGTTTTGTAGTGCAAAAAGGTATCTGTAAATAGTGGCAATGGGTTAAATCCTAAACTTAAATATTTTCAATTAAAAGTTGAGGATCTAAGCTAGGCTCTCACTAAAAATTTTTTCCCATAAAAAGAACACAAAATTAGCATCTGAGAATTTTTTCATTTTCAAGTAAAATAAACTTATGTGAGAGCCCATAGCTTAGATTTGTTTAGCAAAAAGTTTTTTTTTAAGTAAGCGTTGGAAAGAATAATTTCAAACTCAAAGTTTGAAGATGTTTCTGAAATTTCATTCTGAAATTTTTCGGCTCGAAAAAACCTCTCTGACACGCCTTGATTAAAGGGCCGAAAGACACCCTCAAAATTGTTTCACAATTTTAATCTGGTATAATCTAAAAATAATTTCATCCATCCTATGCCAAAACTGTCAAAAAAGATCTCTTAACCTCTTTGATGTTTACTTTCTAACTTTGAGTTAGATAGATACCTGCCAAAAGCACATCCGCTTTTGGCACAACTTATTTTTAGTCAGTGTATGTTTTATGAAATCAATTCTCAATTGAACTTCCTAACTCAATCTATCTTTTATCTAGCTGAGTTAGCTTAAGGGAGCTCTTTTAATGTAACCTTAGTTCAAAAGTCTACTAGTTAGTTTAGTAGAGAACCATCATCTTAACAAGTCTTTAACTAATTCTAGCTAAAGTTCACCCGTATCTTCATCGTCTAATACCCCTTTTATTTGGATCAAACTAATTTTTTAACATGGCACAGTCAAACGAGTCGAACCTACGAGGTCTAGAGTTCTTGTGGAACAACACATCAAGTTAGAACCATCAAGGTTGGGAAAATGGGCTGAAAAAATTCAGCTGACAATCTGTGCTAAAAGTTCTGTCCAAATCGAAGATGTCATTACCCCACCGTTGATACCCAAAATAACTTACCTTATCCCAGAAACATCGGAGCCTTCCAACGATCAAACCTGTCGGGCGGAAAAAGAGGAAAAAAATAAACAAGCACTATAAGACTACAACGAAGAAGTGCAAAGGAGGAAAGTGGAAGACATTGCAAAATTTAACGGCCTACAAATAAGCGACATTTATAAGAAGTTAAAATCTTAAAGAAGGAAAAAAATGCTTCCAACAAAAAGACATTGGGAAAAAAATACTTGGTTTAAATTATGCAGAACTCTGGGAATTATTGAAAACCACGATCACGATAACTACAAATCTGACTGATGAAAACACAAGTTTTTTGGTGGAAGACACAAAGATCATGAGTCACTAAAAACTTTTCGTGAAGTCCTCTCAGAGCTGGTGAACAAACTATGAGATGGGCGACCCAGAGTCTGAACTAGTCAGAGATATTCTAATAACCAATATGATGAATGTGGAAATCCAAAAACAGTTGTGCAATGAATATCTGACTCCAAAAAATGGTTTAGTTTATGCATATTTCATGAGAAAGGCACAAAAACACATCAACAATACATTAAACTTTCTATATATAGTTCTTCACAAAAACCACATTATGTAAAAGCGAGCCAAATTTAAATATTGTAGAAAGTATTAAATACAGAAACTGCGGCCAGCAATTCAAGAAGGGACACCTTACATCTTGTCCGGCAAGAGAAAGAAACTGTTAGATCTGGGGTTTTAAAGTTCACCACGATAAACCTTGCAGAAGTTCAGCCTGAGCACAAACGAACGTGGTAGAGCAAAATCCTAAATTACTCGAACAAGAAATCCACTGAAATAGCGTGCAAGACAACTTCGAGTTCAAAGTAGATTGAGAAGATTTTATAGTCGCAGCTAAAGATAATGATAACTAAGTGAACGCTTTTAAAGACAGAACTGAAGGGGGAGCTATAACAGTATTTTCCCACGGAGGACTCGAACTGAAGAAGACATTAATGACATCAATGGGTAGCTTTAATCCATACCTAACTGAAATAAATATTGACTCATCCAGTCCAGTATTCTTTATAAAAAAGGATTTACTTCACCAACTCAAGACAAGAGACAGATATCTAAAAATTGAAGCAGTCGATGAGATCACGAAAAAAACCTATCAAGGTTTTTGGAAGCACGATTATTATCATCGGAAAAGTCATAATGAGGATACAATCAAAGGGATGGGATGGCACATATCAACAACTGTTTATCACCAAAGTGTTAGAAAGAAATTTACTCGACAATGACATACTACCGAGCTTGGGGATGAAGGTCTCACAGAAACAGGCACCACCCACAGTATCAGACACACCGATCATCCCGAGAAAAACACCCTTCGGAAGAGAAGTAAATCAGATAAAAATTGAGTGTGACAACCAGCTCTGCCAACTTCCCTGTTTAACATTTGTGTCATGACACCCAGCCCTGCCAACTTTCCCACTTTAACATAAGGGAAAAAATTCAAGTGCTGTGGCAGACGAAGTGACTGGGATGCGCCGGACGATATAGAGGATGGGAACCTGGACGACGACTCCT